ACTAGAAATAAATAAATAAATAAATAAATAAATAAAATAAAAACACTTAGATGTGTAGAATTCCAGCAGCATCTCCTTCAAATGACACAATGACATAATATAAGAAAAAAGTCTATGTTAAGCACTACCCATATAGTTTTATATATATACATACATATACATATGTTTATTGTATGCTGTGTGTTTTGCCTTCATTCTGTGATATACACCTGCACTAACCTTTCAAAACACCACTGCATGATGAATGTATAAAAAAATATATTCTCATCTCACCCCCTGCGGGTGGTCTACCTGAGGCCTGGAAGCTTGAGGGTTCTGTGCAGTATCTCAGCTGTTCCTAGAGCTGTACTTTTCTGGACTGAGATGTCTGATGTTTTTCGCGGGATCTGCTTTAGCCACTCCTCCAGTTTGGGGGTTATTGCCCCGAGTGCCCCAGTGACCACGGGCACCACTGATATTTTCACTCTCCAGGCTTTCTCCAGTTCTTCTTTGAGGCCCTGGTACTTCTCTAGTTTCACATTTTCCTTTTTTTCCTGATGTAGCCATTACTTGGTATTGCCACATCAACCACAATGACTGTCCTCTGTTGTTTGTTCACCACCACAATGTCTGGTTGGTTCACCATCACCATTTCGTCGATCTGGATCTGGAAGTCCCACAGGAGGATGGCTCTCTTGTTCTCAACCACCTTAGGGGGTGGTACCCATTTTGACCTTCCAGTCCATACTCTGCACACAGATGCTTCTGTATACAGTGCCAGCCACCTTAGGTCAGCTATAGATCAATCAGGGGACAAACCACTGCCTCCTGCTAGTCTGGCCATCCATGATCATTTTGGGTAGATTACTGTAGATCAACTTCACAAAATCGTCTGTAAACTGAAAATGCCATACTGCCACACTGATGTACTCCCTTTCGGTTTTTTAAAGAGGATATTTACATCTGTTGCCTCAAGCGTTTTGCTTATAGTGAACAGTAGCTCAGAATCGAGTGTTGTCCCAACACAGCTGAAACATGCTACTGTTCACCCTCTGCTGAAAAAAAAAATCCCTGGACTCCTCAGATCTGGCAAACTACAGGCCTATAGCTAAACTCCCATTTATAGCTAAGATCTTGGAGAGGATAGTATTTGACCATTTAAATGCATTTTGGACAGTCATGGTGTACATGAAGTATTTCAATCTCGTTTTAAAACCCATCATAGTTTAGAGTCAGCACTTCTAAAGGTTGAAAACAACATTTTAATGGCTACCCACTTTGGCAAATGTGTCATTTTTGTGCTCCTAGATCTATCTGCTGCATTTGACACCTTCAATCATAGCATCCTAATTTCCAGGTTGGAGCAGTGGGTTGGAGTCAGAGGTACTGCTCTGGAGTGGTTCAAATCGTATCTGTCAGGTCGAAGCATCTCAGTTAATTTATGTCAGTTTTCCTCCTCTGTCACTTCAGTAAAATGTGGAGTCCCTCAAGGCTCCATCTTGGGCCCCCTGCTATTTTCCCTTTGAATGATGCTGCTCGGAGACATATTTCGGAAACACAGCATCCCATTTCACTGCTATGCCGATGACACACAAATTTATTTTCAAGTGAAGAATCAGGATTCCTCTTCTGTCTTGCCATTACTGGACTGCCTGAATGTTGTAAAATCATGGCTGTCATATAACTTCCTGCGACTAAATGAGAACAAGAAAAAGGTCATAGTATTTGACCCCAGTATCTCCAGTAGTGGTGCCAGTATGGAACTTGGCACACTGGAACTCTTCAGCAACTGTGATGAAAGACCTGGGTGTGTATTTAGACTCTCATCTTAACTTAGACAAAATGATAAGCAGTGTTGTTAACAGCAGTTTTTATAAACTCCGGCTGTTATCTAAAGTGAGATGTTTTTTATCGACTAATGACTTTGAGAAGTTGGTCCACACATTCATCACCTGTCAGTTGGACTACTGTAACTCTCTGTATGCTGTGTTAGCCATTCAGCTATGTCACGCTTGCAGATGGTGCATATATATATATATATATATATATATATATATATATATATATATATATATATATATACACACAGTAAATCCTCTAATACAGGCCTGTATTCATTTAACGGCCGGGTCTCATATTTTGGCCGGTGTCGGAGTCGGCGGAGGTGAATAATGGCCGGTCTTTTATTGTGGCCGGGTGGAATGTGGTAACAAGCAAGTACGGGGGGCGGTTGTGTCATCCGTCTCACTTTTGATTTGCCAGTGATAGACCGCGAGGGTAACTTTAACCGTGCGGAGACGAAGAGGAGGCGAAAATTTGATATGAAGTTCAAAGAGAACGTGCTGATTATGCTGCAGAACACTCTGGGGAGCAGTAGCAGGGGTTGTATGAACTAGTCGACTTCACTATAGTGACTTTTTATGCCTGTCATCGACTAGTCGCTGTCACGTGATAATGACCGGCAAGATGCAGCCCTCGGAAAAGACAGCAACCTGCTGTCAGCAGGTGACAAGCTCCTGCGCTCGGGGGGGGGGGGCAACACGCTGTGCCAGAGCATCGGTACTGACATGCCATCGTTCATGTTGGCTCATTTCCTTTAATGTTTTCTGTCTTTTAATTGCGCCTGATGTGTTTCGCTGCTGTGGAGCGGGGCGCATCACCTTGTCCTCCGGTGACGCACCGATCACTGATGCGGCCGCCAAGCAGGGAGCACTCCGCTGTTTTTGCGGTCGGTAGATCTACGTCCTGAGCATGGCCACAGTAACATTATCAAATCAGGTTTTGCCACCTCAAAAACTAATTTAACACGTGATCGTTAATGTCGGTTCATTTCCTTTAATGTTTTCTGTCTTTTATTTGCGCCTGATGTGTTTCGCTGTGGAGCGGGGCGCATCACCTTGTCATCCAGTGACGCACCGATCACTGATGCGGCCACCAAGCAGCGAGCACTCCGCTGTTTTTGCGGTCGGTAGATCTTTTAGAACTGCAGTTCAAAGGTAACTCATAAGGTGAATATATATGAAGCCAGGTAGCAGTTTATCTTTAGGATTGAGAGGAGATGCAGGAAGATAATAAACAGGCAGGACAGAAAAATAGTCAAATAAAAACAAGTTAGTTTTTGTACCTGGTGGTTGCAACAAACAGACACCATTGAAGGTAATCAGAAGTGAGGAACAGAAAATGAAATAATTATTTTAATGTTTAGAAAAGCAGGAACTCTGAGAGGCTGCAGGCGCATCAGTGAGTTTGCGGCCACTGCGCAGGTGGAGGGGGGAGATGGCTGAAGCAGAAACTACCATTGTTAAAAGAAATGTGTTTAACTTTGAAAATGTCGGCGCAATTTTAATTGTCAAAAACTCCAGCGAACCATTAGTTCATTTTGCTCAAATAGAAATAGAGGCCTGCCTCTAATTCTGGCGTCCTTCCAATAAAGGCCTGGAGCTTGATGAGCTTGAGTCAAATACAGGCCTGGGCCTGTATTAGAGGATATACGGTATTTACGGTATATATATATATATATATATATATATATATATATATATATATATATATATATATATATATATATATATAATAGTTTTATAGTAGTCTTTGTTCCAGTCATTATAACAGAATAAGCTGAGTTCAAGTGTTGAATTTAAAATCTATGCAGGGAAGCAAACAGCAATGACTCAACTATCAAGACTAATGTGGGTAAATCTGTCTCTTTCTGATGTGGCTTCCTCCTCACTTCTTCTGCTCCTGCAAGCTCATTGGCATGCATGATAAGTGTTGACCGGGAGCAACATATCACCATTATTCAGTGACAGAGTACACCTCGGAGCTAAAGTGACAGATCAAGAGATGATGATGATAGGCTGAGGTTACTGGTGTAAGGGATGATGAATGGCCCTATTGTTTGGAGATGGCTACAATGCAGGGTGTTTGAGGATGAAGCTTTTTCTTTTCAATGTTTTTATCAATGTGATCCTTGCATAAACTAAGGCCTTATCCAAAAGAACATATATTTAGCTGAATCATTTTTTTTCTTCTGCATTTGCATTCATTCACATACTTTTTACTTTCCAGTGAGAAGGTTTTTGGTTTACCTGTGTGCACTAGACAAGTTTCAAAGGAACATAGCACACCACTGCATGCATCAACAGAGTTGTTTTCAGTGAGTTTTCTACATTTGGCTGAATCTGCCCTGACTCAGTTGTCATCAAACTGTGCCTATTGAGTGAGAGGAGATGAAGGGTAAACAATGAACATTTTATTATTGAAACAACAAGCTACAGTTATTTTGGTGGGACTTTTAGTGATGCTTTATTTATATTTTTACCAAAAATGATGCACTTGTGTCTATTTTGAATTATTCAAAAATGAAACCACATTTATCTATATTTTGTAGTTATTGTTGTTGTCACAATATCTCTTTCAATGGTATTTTAGCTGTATCCATTTGTTAATCAAAATTTCTTAAATGTTTGTCTTAATGAATATGTTGTTTTAAAATAAAGGGCTAACCATTTATCTAATAAATGTCAAGAGCATTATATTAAATGTATAGAAATCTTACCACAGCAAACCAGGACAGTATATTTTCTCATTTGTATTGACTGTGTTTGAGAATGGTGTGTTTTTGTGTGTAAGGGTGTGCAAACCAAAATGGGAAGAATTGTATCAACTCATAATTATCAACTTTTTGCTGGCATATATAAGCTGGAACATGTATTTTTAGAATTTCCCTGCTCTTTTATTACAAACAAACCAAGCTGTCATCCCGCTTCATCCTTTTTCCTCACAGCCAGTTGTTTCAGAATCATTCAACCAGAAGAGTGAGACTTAGCAATCAGTGGAAGCATTGGTTGGATCCCTATATACATATAGCATATACACAATGTTTATCCTTTAAATTATTCCACCAGTTAAGCTCCCTAAAGGTTTTCAAATAGTACAAAAATGTGTTTACATGTTTGCAAAAAGGACTTATTCTTACCTTTATAGACCTTTGACATGACTTTCATCTCTTTTTCTTATAGCTATAGATTCAAACACAGACTCGGTGGAAGATTTGATGCAGCAGTTCCAGGACAGCTTCCGTGTTCCCAACAAACCAACAAACATGTCTCACTACCAGCATGTCATGCACAGCTCATCAACAGGACGCCGGAGGGTCTCCAGCCACACCAGAGGTGAGGCATGGACATTACACTTTTAACACATTCATTCATTTATTAGTAGCAGTATTTCTGTTCTTTTTCTGTTTCCACATTATAAAACATCTTGATGAGTCTCTATGCTTCTTGAGTGATGAGAGAAAAGCAGAACTTTTTGGAAGGTGTGGGTCTCTTTACAAATGTTGTTAAAGGAATACTTGGCAACTTTCAGTTCAATCAGACATGGACAAAAAGCTATCTGTGCTAATGGTCACATCTATAGTAATGGTGAGAAATAAATATTGAAATGAGACATTAACCTTGATGCTTCTTGTTAGCTGCTATTGTATATGTGTATAAGCTAAACAATAATCAAATAAATCAGGAGGAAATTTGCTACATTGATGCTGTAAAATGTTTTTACAAAGAGCATTTTCCTCTGCAATCAATTACCTACTTTAGGCCATTGCTATCATCCTGTAACCTGTGTACTGCAAAAGCAGAAACATTGCTCAGGTAAGTCTAATAAAAAAGTTGCATATTGTATTTTTCATGAAAATCCTCAACAAAGGTTTAAAACGGCTGCTTCACAAAAGTATGACACTCGATGTAAGTTATACTTGAACTTGTCAGAGATCAGCACATTTTACCACCACCAACTAATTAAGATGACCTCATATTGTTGAATAAAGAATTAAAAATCAGCTATTAAAAACAACCCCATGAAATACCTTGATCCGATAAAGTGAATCAGTAATTTACCCAGTCATCAAATTATGCCAGATGATTAAAACTTTAAAGAAACTTTACCAACGGTCTTTTTTAATCCACTTTTGATGGTAGTCCTTTTTCCTGCTCAATTTATAGAATTGTGAGTTTCATTGGAGAGTCTGTTATCTTGTAGCCAAACCACTTTCATATATTTGAAGTAGCTTCCAGAGGCTAATGCCCTGGGTACCTTCCATAATGGAGTGCTGGTGCAGGGGGTGGCTGCATTAAGTTTAAGAGATAGGTTCTTTATCAGTGGAAGGAAGGATAAAGCCAGTCTGAAATAAACAAACCGAAACCAAAGCCGATCCCGGCGCGGCTACCCCGGCCCAGCCCAACGCCGAACCCGGTGCAGTTCCACCGGCCCGGCCCAACGCTGTACCCGGCGCAGCTACACCAGAGCTACTAAACCAGGCTCTACCAGGCCTGGAAACAGCGGCGGCGTCGGGTGGATTCTACGGTCGGTGACGAGTAGATACAACGATCGGAGAGTGGCCTGGAAACAGCGGCGGTGGAGTGTGGATCAGAGAAAGGCCTGGAAACAGCAGTGGAGGCGTGGGGATCCTACGGTCGGCTCGTGAACAAGAAGCAGCACAGTAGCAACTATAAGTAGCAATGCCTCCTAAAATCAAAGACGAAATAGAGGAGATAAAGAAAGCATTAGACTTCATGTCAGAAGAGCTATCTACAGTTGCTAAGCAGCAAAAGATGATCATGGATCTCGTACGAGAAATTAAAGAGCTAAAACATCTAAATGAGGAGAAAGACAGGAGGAATATAAGTCTGGAAGGCCGTATAACAGAACTCGAGCAGTACACCCGCATGAATGATGTCATCATCAGTGGATTGTAGATCAAGCCCTGGTCTTACGCCAGGGCAGTTACACAGCAGGAAGGCGAGGTGCACACTGACATGGACATGAACTCTCTGGAGAACCAGGTGACGACCTTCCTTACAAATAAAGGAATAGCCATATCTAATACAAGACATTGAAGCTTGCCATCCATTGCCCCGTAAAACAAAGATGCCAAACCTGCCATAATTTTACTATTCACAAACAGGAAATTTAAAAATGCCCTCCTCAAACAAGGGAAAATGCTCAAAGGAACTGAAGTGTACGTGAATGAACATTTAACAAAGAAAAATGCAGAGATTGCAAGGAAGGCACGTATCTTAAAAAAAAACAGAGAAAAATACAGTCAACATGGACAGCAAACTGTAAAATATTCATTAAACTGAATGGGTCACCAGAGGAAGCCAAAGTCTTAGCGATTAAACACATAGAGGAGCTGGAAAAGAATGAGTGACTATGGAAATGAATGCAGGTAAAATAAACCATAGGAATAATGATGACACAATCTTCTGACCACACAGAATATTAAGTATATGAATTAGATAACTACATAGATCCAGAAAACTATCTCTATAATAATACAAACAACTGTGAATATTACGCAGAGGAAACCTTTAACAATAATGTGAATATGGACGGAGCATTGTCAATAATTCACTTCAACAGCAGAAGTCTAAACAAAGATGTGGGTAAAATAAAGGACTACTTGAAAAACTTTAAGAAATTCCATATAATTGCCATATCGGAGACCTGGCTAGACAATGATATACTTACTGAAGTGGAAACAGATGGATATGAACTATTCACAACGAACAGGAGAAATAAAAAAGGAGGTGGGGTTGCCATCTATGCAGCTAATGACCTGAGATGCACAATGCTCAAAAGTATGACTGAAACAGTTGAAAACATCTATGAATGTTTAACTCTGGAGATACATATTGAAAAATCTCAAAATATAATCATTTCTTGTATTTACAGAACACCTGGGAGCTGCCTCCAGACGTTCACAGATAGAGTAAATGAGATATATGACAAAGTAAATAACAGAAAATCGATACTAGTATGTGGTGATTGGTTAAATCCAAACAAACATGTTAAAACTGCCGATTTTATAAACACAATGTATGCCACCAACTTATTTCCTTTGATCACAAAACCTTCCAGAATAACAGCAAATACAGCAACACTAATAGACAATATATTCATAAATAAAAGAGAAAATAAAATAACTAGCGGGTTACTCATCAACGATATTAGTGGCCATCTTCCAGTATTTGCCATCATACAAAACTTGAAAAACACTGGAAATAACACAAAAATAGAAGAGCCCAAACTGACCCGGTGCAGAACAGAGGAACACATTGCAGCATTTAAAACGGACTTAAAGAACGAATCCTGGGAAGGACTATATAAACAGCATGATCCAAGTAAAGCATTTGAAACCTTTTTAACAAAAAAACTTGAATATTACAATAAAAACTGTACAATTAGAAAACAAAAACAACAACAAAATAATAAGCCATGGATGACAAAGGGGCTACAAAATGCCTTTAAAAAGAAGAATACAATATATAAACTATTTATAAAAACAAGAACAAAAGAGGCAGAAAACAGATACAAATCATATAAAAACAAACTAACAACTATAATTAGAACTAGTAAAAAGGAATACTATGACAAATTACTACAACTGAACAAAAATAATACCCAAGGAACATGGAAAATATAAAAAAATATTATTAATAATAACGATAGCAAAAAAAAGCCCAATTGAGGCTCTGACCAGTGAAAATGGAATTCCTATAAATGAAAATGGAGAAATTGCTAATGCACTTAATGATTATTTTGTAAATATCGGGACCAATCTAGCTAATAAGATAGGAAATTGATGTTACTAAACACATAACTGCTAATATAAATACCATGTTTATTAAGGACACTGATGAAAAAGAAGTTATTCCCAATGTAAAAAAAAATGTAAAGACAATAGATCAAAACACTCTTGAGGGTTTTGACATGTCATTAATAAAACGTATAATAGAATGTATTGCAAAACCGTTTGCATACATTTGTAATCGATCATTTAAAACAGGTATTTTCCCCAGTAAAATGGAAATTGCAAAAGTTATACCAATATTTAGGTGATAGAAAACAGTCATCCAACTACAGGTCATTCTCTCTATTCTCTCAGTTCTCCAAAATAACAGAGAAAATATTTGTAAGCAGATTGCATGATTTCATTGAAAAAAATAATTACTAAGTGAGCATCAGTATGGATTCAGAACAAAAAGATCAACGGCAATGGCAACAATTAGCATGGTAGAGGAAATAGCTAAAGCGATAATAAAAATAATACAATAGGAATTTATTTAGATCTTAAGAAAGCCTTTGATACAATAGATCAAGATATCCTGCTAACCAAATTATATAAATATGGCGTAAGAGGAACAGCATATAACTGGTCAAAAAGCTACTTAACAGGAAGACAACAATTCACAGAAATCCAAAATGGAAAATCACCAACAAAACAAGTGTACTGTGGGGTACTTCAAGGTTCAGTGTTAGGACCCAAGTTATTCACACTTTACATAAATGACATCAATAAAGTAACCAATCAATTGAACTACATTCTCTTTGCAGATTAAACCAATATGTATATCACAGGGAAAGACAATGAACAACTATTGAATATGGTTGGAAGTGAACTAGAAATACTAAAGACCTGGTTTGACAGTAACAAATTATCATTAAATCTAAGTAAAAGTAAACGCATTGTATATGGAAAACAAAATCAAAACAATCTTCCTAAATTAATAATAAATGGGGTAGAAATGGAAAGAGTAAGTGAAATTAAATTCTTGGGTGTCACAGTACACCAAAGGCTGAGTTGGAAGACGCACATAGAAAATGTTAAAACTAAGATGTCTAAAATTATTGCAGTGTTAAATAAATCTCAACACATTGTAAATGGAAAATCATTATTACTCTTATACCAATCATTAGTACTTCCTCATATGATGTACTGTCTGGAGGTCTGGGGAAACACTTACAAATCTCACATAAAACCCATAGTTTTACTACAGAAAAGAGCAATAAGAGTAATTACCAACTCTGATTACCATGCACCAATGCATCCCCTGTTTATAAAACTAAAAATACTTAAATTTACAGACCTGGTCAAACTACAAACAGCACAAGTACTCTATAAAGTACAAAGTAAAATATTTCCGGATTGTATTCAGAAGCTATTCCAGGTCAAAGAAACTCAGTTTGAACTAAGGGGAGAAGGACAATTTGTCAGAGAGAAAATAAGAACAAATGTTAGAAGTCAGAGTTGCACAACAGTAGGAGTCAAATTATGGAATAACTTGGACACTGGAATCAGGGCATGTAAAACTGTTAAATCATTTTAAAA